ACACACACACACACACACACACACACACATACATGGATACATATATACATATATGAATGATCTTGCGACTGCACTACCCACATAAAGCCTTCATCATTTGGTGTATATGTATATACAACTGTATGCATCTCTATATGTATTTTTCTATATGTATATGTATCTATATCTATATGTATCTATATATATCTCAATGTATGCATGTATATATATCTATATATTTACATATAGATATATATAGATACAGATACATATATATCTATATATATACATATAGATATATGTAGATATATATACATACAAATATGGATACATATAGATATAGACACATATATATATATAGATACATACCTTGATACACACACTCACACACACAGACGCACAAACACACACACACACAGATATCGGAGCTAACCCAAACCGCGACGTAAGACACATTTTTTTTAATAACTTAAAGAGACGGCTACAACGATGACTCAAAAGAAAGAAATGCACTGCGCAAATCAAACATAAAGCAAAACTTTACAAGAAAAAAGCTCAAAATATAAAGATACACAAGCTCGACTAGGAGGGAGTCCGGAGGGATGGTGCCGGCTCAGGGGCTGCGGTGAAGGCCGAAGCGATATCGGGTGAAAGTGACTTAGCACTCGTCGAGGTGTCAAAACGCAGCCGGAGGAAGTGGGGGACGTTGTTGAAGATGGGATCCGGAGGCGGCGGAAAAGACGGTCGAAGCTGAGGAGCGGAGGCAAGAAGGGCGGTCGAAGCCGAGGAGCGGAGGACGAAAGTTTGCAGCGGCTGGAGGCACTAGGGAAAGCCTCGGGATGGCTGGGGCCTGTTGGAAGGGAGACGATAGTGGATCGGACGTCGGAGAAGGGGTGCAGCCTGCTGTGAGGGAGGCGTGAGGTGCTTTGGATTGCAGGTGGAAGTGCTGCCGTGGCGGGAGAGGTGCTGGGAGAGTCGGAAGGGACGGCGGTCTGCTGTGTGGGAGGCGGTAGAGGATCCGGGAGGGTAGCAGGGGCTGTGGATATCGCAGGGAAGCTGCAGGTGGGGATGTTCGGTGGCCTGGAGGTGTAGTAGGGGAGGCTGCAACAATCCTGCAGAGAAGCTACAGGAGAATTGACTGCAGGCTGGAGGAGCAGCATGGAATCCGGAGACTTGCGGTGCTTTTGGATGGGTAGATGGGGCGCGATCTGCAGGGAGGCTGCAGAGGGGTTTGCGGTACCTAGAGGAGTAGTAGGAAGGCAGGGATGCGGCTGTTGGATCGCTGGAGTGGCTGGAATGGCAGCGAGCTGCAGGACGGTGGGGAGCGGTTGGAACATCAAAGATAGACACCACCTCAGACGGGGCTACAGCCGGAGCACCTTTTTTGTCATCGGATACAACTCTCGAGAGAAAATACTCAAATAAAATTGAATTCAGATTCAAAAGCAATACCCTTACCCTAAACACAAGAACTCCTAGTTATAAAAGACTTACTAAACTTTAGGAAACATTAAAATAGGAAATGAATAAT